CCAGGGATGTGCCCGCAACCAAGGTACATGCCCTTGACTGGAATCGAACCTGGGACCTTTCAGTCCACAGGCCAACGCTCTATCCACTGAGCCAAACCGGTTTCGGCTCCTTTTCTTTTGTTATTTTTTTAGGTGGTAGTATAAATAGTCTTTTCTCTTAATGAAGTCAGTGGAATAAAACAAAAACAACGTAACTAGTCCCTGTCTTCTCTATCGTGGTTCCCTGGGGGGTAAAATCATGTTACACATCCAAGCCAGAGCCCCCGAGGTGCTCCCCCATGCAGACCGCCTGCAGCATCAGTAATGAGGCTGTTTGCATGCATCTCTGATGGCGCCAGAGCCAGCCCCAAGCCAGAGCGGCTCCGGGAGGACCTGCCGGAGGGCACTGCCACAGGGCCTGCAGTTGGAATGCGGGTGTGATGTTGGACTCTTTCTCTGTAGCGAACACGAGCACACTTCCCCTCAGGATGCTCTGACACCAGCCTCTGTGATCACTTGGGAAGGCGCTGCAGGACTGGGCTGGCCCTGAGAACGGTTTGATGCCAGGGTCTTGTTCACAGGGCAGCGGTTAGGGATAATTTATTTCCAGTTGAGGTATTTTGCAGAACAAGAAAATGCCTTGGCACATGTTCTCTGTTTAGTCAAACCTATTTGTCACGCCTCGGTCCCTCGGAGATGGGTCTCGTGGCGACAGACGGAGAGTTTTATGTGTTTGTCTGTGCTCTGGAGCCAAGAGTACTCTGCAGCGGGTCTAATCAGTCTGCGATTAGGAGTGGGGTACGGGCTCCTGGAAAAACGGTGGCCACCTCTCCACCAGCCTCTGTCTGAGTCTAGTTACTCCAAAGACTCTCTCTGAACCATTGAAAAAAATTGAGAAATCACTGCACTGCTACAGTAGATGTGGAGCCATTATTCGGGGTGATCCTTTCCCCCATTATCCTGGATGTTTCTTACCTTCTCCCTCTGTCTTTGCCTTCCCTTTCTCTCCTCCCCCTGCCTCACTCCTTGCTCCCTTCCCACCACCTTTACTTTCCCTTCTTTCTCCCTCTGCCTTTTCCCAGCCTTTCATTTAGGATAGTTTATTCCTATTTTACCTGGAGATTTGATGCTGAAAGGGCACCTGAGACCTGGTCCTTCTTCCCTCCTCTTGGTGTTTGGCCGTGGCTTTTGTTCCTGTGGCGGTGATGGCTTCTCCATGGTAACCCTGGCTTTCTCCTGAAGCTGTAAAGCCCCCATCCGAGATGCCAGGGGGCTGGGAAGAAGTCCCTCCAGGGGAGTCATTTCTGCAGGCGTTTCTAGCTGAGGTGGCTGGTGGATGGACCTTTCCTTGGATGTTATCGGACTTGGTTAGCCAGACGCGTGGTCCAGAAACCCTTGATGGCTTTGGTTTGGAGATGGAGTTAAATGGAAACAAGATCCTTTCCAATCAATAGCATCTCATCTGATGTCTTCCTGCTGGCTTACCATCGGCATGCAGCACGAGATGGCTCTAGCTCTGAATGTAGGGTTGCCACTGGAAGTGCTTCGTGGAGTGACATACGTGCAGTGAAATGACAGACTTTCCTTCTAGACTCAAGATTCAAAACAAGTGCCATTGTCGTCGTGTTAGGGTTCTCCAGAGAAACAGAACCAATAGGATGAGTAAGTCAGAATAGCATTAACTTATTTCTGGTATTTATGGTTAATATGTATAAAGACATTTGTGAGAAAGAGCTGGTCCCTGTGATTATGGAGGCTGGAGTTCGGTCTGCAGGGCGGGCAGCAGACGGAGAGCCTGAATCGCTGAAGGAACAGAGGTCTGGCCACAGTCTGCTGGAGAGATTCCCTGTGCTCAGGGAGGCTGTTTTTGTTGGTTTGTGTTTTTTTAGGTGTTTATTTTTATTTTAAAGAGGGAGAAGGAGAGAGAAACATTGATGTGTGAGAGAGATACATCAATATCATGTCCTCTGTCTCCTATACATACCCCAGTCAGATTAAACTTGTAACCTAGGTACGTATGTGCCCTGACCAGGAATCAAACCCACGGCCTTCCGGGCATGGGACAATACTTAACCAACTGAACCACACTGGCCGGGGCAGCGGGCTGGTTTTTTTTTTTACTTATTCATGCCTTTCAACTGATCGGGTGAAGCCATGTAGTTTAGCCAAAATAACAATGGGCAGTCTTGTCCCAGGGCTCCAGCTGGTTCTGTTCTTGTCAGAACCTATAGTTAGTTGATCTACTATGTATTCTTCGCTGCGTGTCTGGGTAAGCGGGTCTGGAAAATATTACTGGCTGTGTACTTTCTCCCCTTGCTGTGACATTCCTTACAAAATTGGTTACAGGACTGAGACATTGTTGAAACGATGCTGCCTTCTGGGCTATTTCTTCTCCAAGATGGGTTATGCCAGGCATGCACACAGAATAAAAATGTAAATATTCTCCACTGGAAAGCCTGCATACCACTTTATATTTAGACGCGGGCCCCGGGAGGCCGGCGAGGCCCCACGGGGATCCATGCTAACGTGCGGCCACGCCGTTCTGCCTGGCCAGAAAGTTTCTTTTGAGCAGGAGACCAACTGGACAGAGTGCCAGAGGCTGAAATAACTCTTCAGAGCGCCAGACAGGCACAAGCTGTCTTCGCAGCACATCTGACCGAAAGTGAAAACGTTTTCTAAACGAGTGTCTTTTCCATCTTGGTTTCCAGCAATGCATATAAATCCAAATACATTTCATTTTTCGTGGAGAGTGAGCCAGCCTTCGCCTTTTCTCCCCGCTCTCTCTGCGGTGAGATAACAGCCATTGTTCACACAGAAAGACGTCCCTTTATCTCGCAGGATCCCAGGCAGCAGCCAGCGAGCCTGTGCTGCTGTTCATATTGGTTCTGGGTCCACGGAGGGAAAGACAGGTAGTATTCCCGTGGAGGCCTCCATCTGTGGACGGGGCCGAATGGTCAGCTTTGGAATCCAGCTGCTCACGGACTCGCCAGCTTCGGGACACTTCCCCCGTGTGAGACCCAGGCTCTTGGCAGAATGTGGGCCGGGGCTGACATGACCTCAGAGCGTTAGAAACATCGATGACAGAGAATCATCGATCGGCTGCCTCTTGCACACCCCCAGTAGGTACATGCCCTTGACCGGAATCGAACCTGGGACCTTTCAGTCCACAGGCCGAAGCTCTATCCACTGAGCCAGACCGGTTTTGGCCTCAGTTTCTTTCGTTCTCCTGAGTAGGGAAGGGAAGTAGACCCCATCCTCAGGCCCCGCAGGAGGGCTGTGCTTCTGTGGACATTGTGGGTTGGGTCCTGACGTGTTCAGTTAGTGGGCTTCCCAGTGGGGGCTGCACATTAAAACCGGGGGGCACTGGGAACACAGCGCCGATCTGGGCCTTCTCCAGCCCCCTCAATCAGAGCTCGGGGTACGAGTGTTCCGGGGGGGCGAGGAGGTGGGTTAGGAAATGGTATTTTCAGCGGCTTGCCTGGCATCAGAGCCCAGACGCCGGCAGGCTTTCTGAAAGGTCTCTCCCAACTGGAATGGGAAACAGCAGTCGTTGTCCACAGCTGCTAAACGGTTCCAGATTATCAACTCGGAGGCAGACACAGACACAGAACTCCGGAGAACCCTCCGAGGAGCTCGTGTATGAGCTGGGAAGACACTGAGGGCTGGCGTTTCCTCCAGGGCCTTATCGTGCCCTCTGGCTGCTCCCTCCACACCCTGCCCTGCTTCCCCTGCTCCCCTGGAAGGAAGAGATGGCCCCGCCGCAGCCGCCTCCCATCTGGTTATCATCCAGGAGGTTATTTTTAAAGGGCACTCACTTCCCTTGCAGACTCCCAAGAAAGGGCTCCAGGAGAACAATGCGATAGACAGGAGCTCAGGCGTCAGGTTCTGAGTCACGCTGCCCTTTTCGTCCCAGGTCCTCTTGACACCTATTAGCTGCTGCCTCTCTTAGTCCTGGATAGATTTTTCATGTTTCTCCTCCCAGGTCAGACTATGACATGGGGCAGGGGAGTGGGGACTGGGAGCAGGAGCTTCTGGCTCTGCTCTCTGCTCACAGACACAAACCCCTCCAGGACCCGCTCTCCTGGCCGGGGCTGCGTGGAATCCCTCCTGCCTGGATGGCGTGCCGGAGACAGCCCAAACAGTGTTCGGGAGGATGCGGGGTTCCTTAAGGTTTCAGAGACACTGTGTACTCACCCGTGGCTTCCTCCTCCTCGGCTAATTACCGGATGTTGGTGGGAGGAAGCCAAGTGGCAGCTTTTGCTCTTTTCTCCGCATCAGGCATCAGCCCCGTAGGCTGCGGTGACAGTCCTGCTCAGAGAAAAGTGCCGTCATGGCTTCATTTCTTCTTTCCAACAGAAATGTAAACTGAACTACCAGAAGCTGCTTTCCCATCCCATGTGCTAGTTCTGGTAATGAACTCTATAGAAAACTGCTAAAGGAATTCATTTAGGTTGACACGAAAGAACACTAGACAGTCACTCAGAGCTGTGAAGATCTATGTTTTCAGTAGAGGCAGGTAGTCTTATTATAATTTTGGTTTACAACTGCAGTTTTTAATTTCCACAGAATAAAAGTACTCATAAATCTGTGTTACTGAGAAGGCATCCAGCGTGTAAAGATGTAGTTTGTATCATGAACAGCATAAAGGGAGGGGTGACGAGGTTGCCCATTTGGGTCTGGATGATGATGTCGAGAGGATTGACAGTGACTCTGAGCAAGGAGGGAATTCCTAGAGGAAAAATCTTAAGCTCCAGGGGCTTTATTCTGGAACTCAGAAGGGGAGTGAATTCTCAGAGCTCTTCTCTGGCTCTTGGCTCTTCCCAGCGAAGTCAGACTGAGCGAAAGCAGTCAACATGCTGTGTCTGTGTCTTTGTTGTGGAAGAGAATCTTCTCCCGTCCTTTCTGGTTAGTGATGGCTGCCCCTGTAGAAGGGGCAATCTGACCTCCGTCCGAGGGCTCTGCTGTGTTAGAGCCGCGCTGTCTCTGACTTTACCTTTTTTTCTCCCCTTCCTTCCCTTCAGGCTGCTTGATAGGGGCCGTCAATCTCAAATCCAGCAACAGATACCCAGTGGTACAGGAATTTGAAAGTAAGTACAGGAGACTACCAGTAAGCACTGGTAGAGTGGGCGCCCTCTAATGGACATTCTGGGGTCTTGCAGCCAGCTCAGGCCAAGTACGTGGGGCCAGAGAGGTGCTGGTGGGTGTGCACGGGTGCTGGTGGGGCCCGGCCTCCGCAGGCCACAGGGGCTGCAGGTTCGATCCTGGCTCAAGTCTGCCCTGTCCTGGCTCTGTGCTTACACGACAAAGACATTTCTATACACACGTGGAGCATGATGGGGAATGTCCACTCTATTGAATAAAGGTCCCTGATCATCATCTTATCCTTTTTCTGGCTGAAATTCATCTGTTTCTTAAAGTCTCCCGGAGCCTGGAGATAGCTGGTTTTTGTTTTGTTTTGTTTTGTTTTTTTTGTTTTGTTTTAATATATTTCATTGATTTTTTTTTTTTTTTTTTTTTTTTTAACAGAGGAAGGGAGAGGGACAGAGTGTTAGAAACATCGATGGGAGAGAAACATCGATCAGCTGCCTCCTGCACACCCTGCACCGGGGATGTGCCCGCAACCAATGTACATGCCCTTGACCGGAATCGAACCCGGGACCCTTCAATCTGCAGGCCGACGCTCTATTCACTGAGACAAACCGGTTTTGGCAAGCTGGGACTTTTTAATTTTATTTTATTGATTTTTTTATAGAGAGGAAGGGAAAGGGATAGTTAGAAACATCAATGAGAAAGAAACATCGACCAGCTGCCTCGTGCACACCCCACACTGAGGATGTGCCTGCAACCAAGGTACATGCCCTTGACTGGAATCAAACCTGGGACCCCTCAGTTCACAGGCCAATGCTCTATCCACTGAGCCAAACCGGTTTCGGCAAGAAATAGCTGGGTTCTCATCTGCACGGGAGACCTAACACTGAGGGGGCTTGCGCGGCGTGGGTGTAAGTAACCGAGTTGTTCCACTTCCCCTGAGAGTCCCTTTCTTCTTCTCCTCTCATTAGGTGTGGAGCTGTCTTGTATCATCACTGACTCACAGACAAGAGAGCCCAGGATCGAATGGAAGAAGATTAAGGATGCCCAGACCACATACGTGTTTTTTAACAACAGAATTCAGGGTACGACGCCTCGCCCCCTCCTTGGCTTCCGGGCCAGGCACGGGCCGTGGCCACACTTTCTCTCCTCCCGCTGGCTCTGCGTCTTTGCCAGGGTTATTTGTTTTGTTTTGTTTTGCTTTACTTACAGGAAAGCGAAACATGTCAAGGTAATGAGAATAGCATATTGAACCCCCCTGGCCCTGTCCCCCAGCTTCAGCAGATGTCAGTTCATTAGGGTTATAATTTCTCTGCAAAATACCTTTCTGAAGTGTCAGAGTCCGCATGCTCCTAGGCCATCTTTTTATCATGGCCCATGACCTGCGTGATGCAAGTTAAAAGCGAGTTAGAGGGTCACATGGCACAGCAAGGAGACAAGTGTTTGGTGCAAGCATACCGCACCGAGAAAGCACTCGCTGGACAGCCGGCAGGGTGTGATCCCGTGTGAGCCCAGGGGTAAGTGTGCTCCTGGGCGATGTGATGGAGGAGCAGGACAGGTGGCGGGAAAGGCTTCCCAGAAGTGGCCTCCAGGCAGAGAAGTGAAAGAAGGCCAGTTAGCCGAGCAGGATGGTGAGGCGTGGGGTGAAGACATGTGTTGGCCAGAAAGAATGACGAGTATAAAAACGTAGAGGCAAATGTCAGCGTGGCTTATTAGAGACACTGCAAGGGATCCCCCATTGTGGGGGCTGACTCCAGGGGAGACTCCAGGGGAAGCTGACCAGGTGTGTCAGGGCCAGCAGGAAGCAGTGAACACCCACCAGATGGGGCATGTAGGAGGCAGCTGACGAATGCTCTCTCATCATTGATACCTCCCTCTCTTTTTTTCTCTCTCTCTCTCTCCCTCCCTCTCCCTTCTTCTCTGAAATCAACATATATCTATAATAATAAGAGCGTAATATGCTAATTAGACCAGATGTCCTTCCGGACGAAGCCTGGACTGCAAGGGAAGCCAGCGCTGGGAACCGGGGGAAGACCTATTCTTGCACAAATTTCGTGCATGGGGCCTCTAGTATCTATATAAAGACAGGGGCCTATGAGTCCTCTCACACACCAGGCTCTGTGCTGGTGCCCAGTGACCTCAGAGCTCACCTCGTAAAGGAACAGAAACAGAAGCCAGTCTTCTCGTGGAGGCGTCCAGTGCTGGCCCCAGAAACTGCCTCCTTCAAGTCACAGAGACCTCGAAAAGCGCCTTCAGTGCCGTTCCTTCTTCTCCACAGGGGACTTGGCAGGCCGAGCGGAGCTGCTGGGGAAAACCTCTCTGCAGATCTGGAACGCGACCAGGAGAGACTCTGCTCTCTATCGCTGTGAGGTGGTTGCTCAAGACGACCCCAAAGAGATGGACGAGATTGTCATCGACTTGACTGTGCAAGGTAGGAACTCATGTGCAGGCCTTTCAGGCCTTATGAGTTTGTATGTAGAAAAAAAAAGATCAACTCGTACTTTCTTTCCATCCTGAAGGTGTCCCGCTTCAGGCAGGGTGTGGAGACCTGGGGCTGCTTGAATTGGGTGGAAGCTTCTGCCACCTCCCTCCACCCACTGTGGGAGGCCCCTGGGGAGGTGGAGGCCTTAGGAACATGCAGCGGGATATTGGGATGGAAGGGGAGGTTCAGGGGCTGGTTTCTGGCTGCAGAGGACACAGGCAGAAGGTGTGGCCACAGGACAGTAGGCGTGGCCATGGGATGGTGGGTGTGGCCACAGGGCCATGGGCGTGGCCAGGGTCCAGAGCTGGCTTTCTTGTTTGGAAGTGGATTTACGGAAGGCTCATTGCTGATTTTAAAGATCAACCTGTGTTTCTCCTGCAGTGAAGCCAGTGCCTCCAGTGTGCACAGTACCAAAGGCGGTGCCCGTAGGCAAGATGGCCACGCTGCACTGCCAGGAGAAGGAGGGCTTCCCCCAGCCCCACTACAGCTGGTACCGCAATGATGCACCCCTACCCAGGGACTCCCGCGCCAACCCCAGATTTCAGAATTCCTCTTTCCTCATCGACTCCAAAACTGGCACTCTGGTAAGACCTGGGAGAGGTGCGGAGGGAAATGTCTGCCGGGCAGGGAGACCTTTAGAAAGAGGAGCCGTCGGGAGAGAGAAGGGAGCCTACAGGGGAGCTAACGGTCCTGTCAGGCCTTCATCTCCTTGTCATGTCCTGACCAGGTGTTCAGCGCGGTTCGCAAGGAGGACTCCGGGCAGTACTACTGCATGGCTTCCAACGACGTCGGCTCGGCCAAGTGCGAGGCCCAGGAAATGGAAGTCTGTGAGTGCTTTCCGAAAAGACTGGTTTTCTCTTTAGACTGGCAAGCGGCTGCACGTTTACAGTTAGCATCAGGCTGTCCGTGCAGATGGCGGTGGGCAGCCGGCTGCATCACCCCAGCCACTCGGGTGCAGGGTGATGAGAAAGCGGGGACAGGTGCATAGTGACCAGGTGTCCTCTGCAGGGCGCCGGTCTCCTCAGGACAGGCTTTCCACTGCTGTTGGTGTTGGAGACATGGCTAATCATGTCCCTCGTAACTAGTTGAATAACTCCATTACTTGTAATTGATAAAAACATCAGGGTGTGTCGTCTTCAGAAACTCATCCGGTGGTAGAGGTTGCAGGGAGCTGAGGCACAGTCTTAGCCCCAGGATTCACCCAGTTGTGAGACGATGCCATCTCCGAGGTACTGCTCTTGGGAGGTGCTGAGCCGGATGGGGCAGGTGGGGCGGCCAGACGCATGTGGAGAACTGCGGCCCGCCCCCCCCTCCCTGAGCAGTTTTCCAAACCTGCCCGATGCTGAGAACCATCTGGCACCATGGGCTCTCATTCAGAATCCAGGCCCCACAGTGCACACGGTCCGGACCGTCTCCGGGAGGTGGGAGGGTCCCTGTGAAAGGGCGTTCCGGGCTCCCCTCGCCTGTCAGGTTTGGGAAGCTCCGCTGTCGGAAGGAGAAAGATCCCTGGCTGTGCTCCAGACCCGGCGAATCTCTAGGGATCGGGCTTGGGACCTGAGATCTTAAAATCGAAATCTCCAGTTTATACCACACTGAGATCCACTGTCCTGGGAGGGAGAGCTTTTCGCCTCCCTTTGCTGCGGCGTCCCCTTCGTGCAAACACACACAGCGGGAAGTCCTCAGTGGCTCTGCCCACCGTCCAGCAACGAGAAAGGGGGTCCAGGCTTCCGTGAAGGGGCTCGTGGGTACCAGGCCGGGCATCCAGAGAGCAGCCATCCTCTCACCCGGACTTTTACTGCCTGAAACTAGCTCTTTTCCCTGACGACCCACTGCACAGGAGCCCCGAGAATGAGTTTTCTTCCTAAGATGCCAGGTTCCTCGTTCTGTGTACAGGTGTCCCTCTCCCCGAGTGCTCACACTCAGGATTTAGCCAGAGGGGCGTCCAGGCTTCTGGGCATGCCAGGCCCGTCTCCTACAGTCCCAGGGGCAGCAGCACTGGCCGTGGGGCCTCGGCCTCCCATGTGAGGACGGGCATGTGCCCCGAGTGCTCTAGGAGAGCCTGCGTGGTCTCACCCGTCTCTGGCTGGGGGCGGCCTGGCTCGGGAGGAGGCACAGCCGGGTCAGGTGCTTGGTGAGACCAGAGAGTGTGGGTCCTCTCCCCCCTCCACCTCCCTCCCATCCAGACGACCTGAACGTGGGCGGAATCATCGGGGGCGTCCTGGTGGTCCTGGCAGTGCTGGCCCTCACCACGGTGGGCATCTGCTGTGCGTACCGACGCGGCTACTTCATCCACAAGCAGGACGAGGAGAGGTGAGCCTGCCGCTTGTGGACGGGATCACGCGCACAAGCGGGCATTCACGTGACACCTGGCCCTCGCTCAACCGCCCTCTTCTGTTTCAGTTTCAAGAATCCAGGGAGGCCCGACGGAGTTAACTACATCAGGACAGATGAGGAGGTACGGGGCGAGGGGACAGGTCGCCGGGGAAACCCAGGACTCGAGGGGTCCCCAGCAGGGAAAGGGACATTCCTCCTTGGAAGTCAAGTGCACGCTAACGGCCTTTATAGCTGCGGGCGCTTGCTCCTTGTGAGGATGCTCAGGCTGATCCTGAGCTTCTCCCCCCGGGAAATGGTGATTGGACATGACCACCGTTCCCCTTCCCCGCTGCCCAGCAGGCCCGGGTTTGTATTGAATGCACAGGAGGGTGGCCGTCTTGTAACCCTGTGCTGGCCTTGCAGGGCGACTTCAGACACAAGTCGTCGTTTGTGATCTGAAACCTGACATGCGGCCCAGAGCACACGCAATACCTCCACCAGGAACGTCCCCAGAGCAGCCGGAGGGCAGGGCACCCGACAGAGCTAGACACGCGTGCAAAAGCTTTTTGTTTTGGCCAAAGTTGACCGCTACTCCTTTCCTACTTCTTAACAAGCTGCATGAATAAAAGGATTCTCCTCAAGATGGGCTCAGGCATCACAAGGAAAAGAACTGAGCGAGCTTCTCACCGAGGCTGGCTCCCAGCTCAGTCCGCCGGGTTCCCGGCCTGGGAAGCCAGTTCATTTGCCACTTGCTGTTGGTCAGCCTGGGTGATCGCCCTGCGAGGGGGATGTGGGGGGACGAGGGAGCGGGGTGTGGCAGCGGGAATCTGGCAGGATGCCCTGCAGCTACGGTTTGAATCGGTGCATCCAGAAAAGAGGCTTTTTGACCATGACCTCGCCTCAGTGGCCCCGACTGTCTGCACCAGCCTCAGTGTTGTCCTGTCCATCTTGGGAATCCTCTTGGATCAGCACTTACAGAAACAACCAAAATCATCAGAAAGGCGAACTGCTCGCGGGGAAGGGGCCTGCTTCCCCAGAGGAACCCTGCTCGTCACTGGAGGGTCTCTAACGGACACCTCCCGCTCAGCCACGTGTGACATGGTACTAAAACGTCCTGCTTTTCTATGGGTGTTTGTTTTATAGAATTTTACATTCTAAATTTTTTGCTAAACATGTATTTTGGTTATTGAAAAGAAAATTTCTATTTAAACTGTACATACGTTGTCATACAATGTTGAATAACCTATTTTTTTAAAAGAAAAAGTTCAGCTCGCAGTTAGGCCGTTCCAAGCTACTCGTGTCAAATGGAAGATGTCAACAGGAAGAGTCTCTTCACTCGCGGCGTCCTCATGGTGGCTTGCAGGGCCATTCCCTCCACCAGTGCGTTAGCGTTTTTGAGAAGGGATGCCATCGACGCACCAGACCACGTGGCTCAGGGAACCTTGAGAATTCCAGTTAACGTCCAAGTTGTCGCCTCTCCAGAGAAACACAGGAGCTCTTGGGCCGGCTGTGAACTGCCTCTCCCTTAGATCCCTCCCGCCGCTGGGTTCCTGAGCCACAGCTCCTTCTGGTTGTGGATGGCTCCCGAAACAGAAGCTACTGCGATTTGGTTTTTAAATGTATTTAACTTATTTGTGTGGTTCATAACACTGTGCAGGCCAAAGGCAGTTCTGCGTCAAGTCTGCCAGCTTTAGTTTTAAAGAAGACGGATTCCACTTACCCTCTTTGCCAGAAGAAAGCGCCGATGCCGTGGGCCGTGTCCGCCTCTCAGTGGAGCCGGGGCGGAGCCTGGTGGTGAGCAAAACACCGACCTGAATCCGAGGCCGAGTCCTGGTTCTGATCTTCACGTTTTCCTGCACCCCGGCCCCGCCTGCGCCGTGGGGACGCAAGGGGACCCGCCTTTCTTCTGCAGAAGCCGGTCTTGCTGGGTGCACTGTGGTTAGCTCGTGAATTGGTTCAATGCCAAGTTCCCCAGAGAGACGCCTGGCTCCCTGTGTGCTTTGAGGGTAGTTGTCACGTAGGACAGTCATCTTGGGATTACACTTCAACTGTCTTAACTTTTTATACTCTGAGGGGCTTTTAATTGGAAACTGTGTTGACTTTTATGTGAAATACTTGGCCGTGAGGTGGTTGGCAGGAGCAGTCGGCGGCTTTTCATACCTGCTCACTGGTACCTCTCTCCTGCGTTTGTACTGAAGGCGTAGGACGAGGACTATCCCTTCGCCATCACCTCTTGGGAGGAAGGGAGAGCGGCCCCATTTCTCTGACTCTTGAGGCTCAATACTCTGGGCCCTGGATCTTGGATGTCACAGTGATAAGGCAGCCTTACTGCCTCTCTTCTTATGCCTAAAACCTACCCTGGGCCATGTGAACTGGGTCTGGCGTGAAGCGTGGAGTCTGGGAAGTACTTGCTAAAAATGTAGACGGATAAGAAACATTCATGTTTTTCACATGTGAGTGTGACCGAGGCACAAGGCCTGTCCGTGGCCGGGCCTTCAGCATGGCTGTGCGTAGGTGTGCAGACTTGTACTAACACCCCCTAAATCGGTATGTGTTAAACCTCATTTATAAAAGCTTTAAAAAAAAATCACCTCTGCCTCGTTCCTTCTTATTTCTTATTTCCTCTCACGTTGGGTTTGAGTATTTCCAGGTGAGCACACTCAGCCCGCCACCACGTGTCCACAGATTGGACAGGACTGGCTCCCTCAGGAGCAGCCGTGACTCCCATGTGTCGCAGTTCACACTCGGGAGAGCTGTGGGTAGGTCACAGGATATACTATCCCTCACACCCAGCTACCATGCTATTAACACATTGTGGACCAGGAGTTTCATTGCTAGCTTTACCCAGTGGCCAGATACGTTTCTATTGAATGAGTACAAAAAACATTTTACCTAAATGTTCAAGGCACACTTTAAAATGAAAGCACCCATTGCGTTTTGAAGTTCTGTATTATATGTTCTGACAAGCTAATATCTTTTTAAAGAATTCTCGTGATTGGCCACAAACCTTAGAACAGAAAACACGAGAATTCTCGTGATCCGCCCGCAATGTGTTAAAACACTGTCACAGTGCCCCCGTGCGTGCATCTGTGGTCTGGGAGTAGACAGTGACATGGGGCTTCTGGTCACTCCTGGTGAAAACAGACGTGCGGGTTTCAGGGCTACCTGGTGGGGCCGGCAGAAGAGACTGGGCCACTCGCAGGACCGCAGCAGGCCGTCATCAGCAGACCTAGGTCCCCACACTTAGAGGGACACCTGTGGTTAGGAGGTGGGCAGCGTCTGTCTGGGGACATAGGCACTGGAATTTAAGGACAAACAGTCATTATTTTAACTTGGAAGATTCTTAAAATACTTAAATATTTTATGTAAATTAAAATAACTACCAATAAAAGCCCTGTTCTTAAAAAAAATTCTATTGCAATAGAATACTAGAAGGCTGTATTTATGCTTTATTATTGTCTTAGAAAGCTGTACACTCTTTAAAATGTGCAGTTCATAAATAAGAGTAGAAAAATATTACAATCAGAATCTTGTCACACACACACACACACACACACACACACACAGGAAACTGTCCACTAGAAAGGATTCCTATCAGCTCACAGGTTGGGTTTGTACACGAGAAAACCAATGTGTCGAGCTGTGTTCCTCAGGGACCATCAGAACGGGCTTGATCCTTCCAAACGGAGTAGAGATAAAATGTTACATGGCTAAGACGTTTCTCTATTATTTTACAATTTTTACCACATACTCCTGGAGACACAGAACCAGCTGGAGTCACAGCACGAGTGCTGGGATACGTAACGAAGGCGCCCCCGGGGGTGCCTGTCCCCGTGCAGAAATGTCTCCCCAGCCCCGCTTCCTGCCTGCCCTGCAGGCACGGTCCTAGTTGGCTGCCTTCAGGGGGGTCTTTCGGAGGGACCTCTTGCTGGGGACGGGGTTGACTTTATTTCTCGCTGGAGACTTCACATTCCACTGTGGAGGCTGCGGAGGCCTGAGGAGGGAAAGATACACTCACTCTGGAACTAAGAGAAAAAAAACTGACAAAACGACTATGGAAGGGACTCCTGCTCAACTTACGGCTTATCAGGCGATGATAAACATAAAGTATTTCCTTGATTCTGGGCTTCGATTTTCTCTGAAAGGGAGTCAGACACAAGCAATTAGACTCCCCAGGACTCCAGATGGCTTAAGGCATCAGATGGGGGGAGGGGGGGCACTTGCCTCTGGCGGGAAAGGGGGTCCGGGGTGTGCCGATGTAGCTGACTCCCGCTTCAAACGTGACGTCACCGATGGTCTCTGGGTGGAGGGAAAACAGCAGGGTTATAGCGAATGAAGTCACCGAGCAAGGTCAGTAATGGGGTCAGTAATGGCCACTGAGGGCCAGCAGCCCGCAGGCCTAGGTTACCTGACCTTTCTGAGGGACCTGACAGTGTGGTCCGACTCTTCCTCCACCACTGCCTTCCTCTGGCTGCTGTGCTGGTGCCTGAGCACCCGCCGCTCACCGTCTCCGGCTTCCCCCCACCCGATGCACATATGCCAGGTACCCCCAGCTCCACATCGGGCCTGCCTCCCCATCGTGCACCTCCCAGAACTCCCCAAGTTGCTTCACCCACTCCTTCCCTCCACTCGGCTGCTTCCATGTGCTCATCCAACCAGCTCTGTCCACACCCCATCTAGTCAGTAGCTGAGTCCCATCCCTCCTACCTTCCTGGTCCACATGCTCTCCTCCCTCATCTCACCCTTGACCTAGTTCGGAGTTCCCCCTACGACCTCCCCTTCTGATTCACCCTCATGGGGCAGGACAGCAGAATGGGAACAGAGACTGAATCAGAACCTGGGTCTGAATTCTGGCTGTGTACCCCAAGTGTCTTTACCTCTAAAACAGGATACAAAGGTCAGGATTAAATGCGGTCATTTATGTCAAGTCCTCAACACAGTACTCGTGCTACAGATGTGTTAGCAACTACTGTGTTAGCTGTTATCCTCTCAGGGAGGGTAAGCACATGCCACGTGAGAGCCCCGTGCCAGGCAGAGCAGGGCCTGCCCAGGACTCGGAGGACCGCCCAAGGCTGGGGTGCAGGTGGCAGGAGACCCGGTGGGGGCATGCGGAGACACCTGCAAACTGCACTATAGATTTTGTCAAGAGGATTTCTTGACACAGAAATAAGGTTTTTATGGGTTTCGAGCCAAGAAGAAGCTATAAAACACTGCACTTCTAACTCGTTTCCCCTTTGAAGTAAAAGGAAAGCATAGGACATTAAAAAAAACACTACAGAAGTGGGCACAGGCTCACTGGCAGGGACCCTTCGAGCCGCCGCTGACTCGAGTGGGCCTGGGACAGAGCAGGGCTGGCTGAGCACATGGAGCCGCGTGGGGGTGGGCAGGAGGGCGGTGTGGGCTCTAGAATGCCAGGGAGGGTGCTGCCCAGAGAAGCTGCGCGAGGGGCCTGCGCCGGAGGACGCCTCCCGGCTGTGGGCAGTGGAACCACGTTCTCACATCACAGCCCCTAGACGAGCCCTGCGAGTGCAGCTGGGGCTCAGTCCAGTTGTTGTGAATGACGACTACCTGTGCTAATTATTCCAGAACATTCCGTCCAAGACACACAGTGGCCAGGGAGAGAGCCTCGCACAGGGAGCCTCCGCAGGCGGGGAGCCAGCTCGCTCCCCCAGTACTTACTCTCAGGGGTGCTGATGGCGCGTCTGGCCACGGGGTCAATGGCTCCACTGGACTCCTGCTCCAGGCTGTACGAAGAGCCTAGGATACAATGAGAAAGGCCGCTCTGTTCAAAGCCCAAAGCCATGTCCCAGAGTAAAGCAACTGAGAAGCGGCATCTGTAAGTACCGTATTTTCTGGCGTATAAGACGATTTTTGAAGCGAAAAAAAGGTCAACCGAAAATCGGGGGTCATTCATTAAAAATTTAATTAAAAAAAGAACTGATGTTGCCTCGGAAGTGGGGGGTAGTCTTATACAGCG